GACTTATAGAGACAATTTAATTAGTTTCAGCATTTCATTTAAGGCCTTAAGCTATTTTCGATTAGAGGGGAGATGTTACATAATCAGCTTATGTAGTTCTATTCGTTCTGTCAACTTTCAGGCGTAGTCGTAATGCAGAGTGTTTGATAATTAGTATGCATTGTCCCGCAAGCCCAAATATATGCAGAGACGCTTCTGGAACTTTCTAAGATTTACATAAGTATAAAAACTTGTAGGTTTAGCTCGGCATTTCATTCATTATTAGTGTGTGTGTTCAAGCAATAAAACTTTTGCCATCCGGAGTAGTTAACACTACAGTAAATGAAATATTCGTGCTCTATAAAGAATATTTCTTTAAACTAGAAAGACCCAACAAAACCAATTTACTTCAATACTTTTCCTTCAGTACTTGATTTCGAATTGGTAATATACTAAATCTGGTCGGAGGGAGGTGCAACAACAACAAAAACCATTTATTTGTACTCATAATTTATAAAATAATTACAATAAACATTAAATTACTATAGAGTACTGCCTGCCCAAAATAACCATAAGGGCTAAAAAGAATGGGCAGACATTAATTTACATAGATCATTCATACAGTTATCGGTCGGTAACACACTTACACACACACACACAAATATAAAGATACCAACAGAATGGAAACTTGCAGCAGAACAGAATATATCCTTATGAAGGTGCAATACAATATATTCTGTCTAATCTGTGGCCTACATTTGTGCAAAACGAAACCAGTTTTATAGTTGCTGAAAATAAACTTAGTAAATATGTTTGTTTTTATACAGTATCAAAGAGGAAGGAGAGCGAGGGGCGGACTGTGGGTGTTTGGTGTCATTTCAACTGAACACCGCCCATGTAGAGGGTACTATCAGGTGGTGCCACGGAGAGACCAAGCAACTCTGACCCAGATTTTGCAGCAAGTCCTCCCTTCCAAGCTCAGAAGTGCATTCCAATGATTGGGCTGCCTACCATCACCTGCCACGTCATGCCTCTAATGCTGTATTACACAGGACTGTTGTTCACCGGAACAATTTTGTGGATCCCGTGACTGGGATTCACACCCAAGAAATAGAATCGGCTTGGGCTAGGTTGAAGTACCACATTAAACGGGAGAAAGGTATCAGAGGAGGGGACTTACAACCTTTTCTTAATGAGCAAATGTGGAGGGATTAGAGAGGATTGGACAACGTCTTCAATAATTTGATTGCAGTTCTTGTTAATTATTATCCTCTGTAGTGACTGAAAACAAATCAGTGGTTTTCTTGTACCTCAATGTAAAGAATAGAGTACTTAAATCAGAAAAAATATTGTACTTAGACCAACAAAGCGTGTACACCAAACATCTGTTTGCGAACAAATGGTATCTAATGGTTAGTTCAGTCCACATGTACACATTATGCATGATTGTATTAATTATCGAATACAAAAATGCTTCCATTTTTTAAATAAATGAAATAAAATTCACAACTTTCACAAAAGAAATATTTGTTTTGAGTCTTGTCTTCAAGTTGTGAAATTAAAAAATTATCCATGCCATCTGGGGCCTTAAAGAGTAAACCCGAGCAAAAAGGGTTGAGCTGTAGCCCTACCAACCTTAGTTGGCTGCTCTATGTCAAAAGGAATCCTTGAGCATGCTGACGTTGGGGTGGGGCTATCTTGTTTTCCACGAAAAAAGTGGCTTGCCAGCAAGCAACTATTTTAGCGTTAGGTCAAGAAACACAGCCAGAAAAAACTTGCATTTATTGGAATTCAATAGGAAATCCAGCAATGCCACCTTTCCAAGCAAAAGTAGTCTTTATTCTGGCACATTGTCACTACACACAGCCACTTTCTGAATAGTACAGCACCTGGAACCACGCGAGAACTAATTTTTAAGCAGAAATCAATTTCTTCTTTGGGAGAGAGATAACCCTTTTTCAAAACAATAAGTCGTTGAGCGACAACCCTGCTTTGCCAAGAAACAAAAAGCAGACCCAAGTGTCGCAGGATGAATTGCATTTCATTAC